ACGTGGACTTATCCTCCAATATGTATTCGTTGTATCCATTAAACCCGGTCTAGTATAATATCCTATATCAGAGTGGGAATGGCAAGGTGGGGAAATAGCGCATCATTCTCGAGACAGGAATTCAGATTTGCCTTCTGGGCGTTCGGCCCCGCCACTCAATCCTTCCTTCTTTGCCCGCCGATTATTAGCATTGACGGCACCTGCGATTATTTGCACCTGCGAGGTTCGTACAAGGGGAAACTACTTGTTAATTGCAAATTAAGTTTTTGTTTTCTAATTTACAATAGTGTCTGATAAAAAAAAAAAAAAACATATGTCCAACTGAGAAGGTTCGTACAAGGGAAAGCTGCTTGTTGCCATAACACATACCGCGAATAACGTCTATTGCCAGTCGCGTATGCGATTGTGGACGAAGAAAGCACGGCTAGCTGGTCCTTTTTCCTAACACATCTGCGCCATCATGTCGTCCCCGACAGACTGATATGTCTTCTTTCCGACAGGGACAACAACATATTGAGTGTCGTTGATTTACTGGAGGCTTGGCACGAACCCCATGCATTTCATCAGATATGCCTTCGACACCTCCAGAGCAACGTGGTTTCAAGGTTCCGGAGTAAGAAAATCCGGGGTTTGTGCTGGAGGTTGGGTTCACTGTGTTCTCACCGCAAATTTGAGCAGAGTCGACAGGAACTCCATGAATGTAACCCAGAAGCATACAATTACATTTTCCAAATTCCTTGGAAAAAGTGGACCCTGTACAGAGATAGAGGACGTCGATGGGGGCACTCTGACAACCAACATGTCAGAGAGTTACAACAACTTCCTCAAAAGTGTTAGGTTCCTGCCCTGCAAAGCGTTGTTACAGGCCACAATGAACAAGACTCAGGATTTGTTTGAACAAGAACAAAACAAGTCGTGTCCCATTCCTACCAACCTTTATGCCGCCTGACTGGGGTTGGAGAGGACATCGGCGACTCATGAGGTGCGATGTGTGGACGCCGACGGATCCCAGTACAAGGTGACAACCGGTCTACGGGCCAGTGGAAGAGGGCAAAACAAGTAAGTATTTTTTATTATTTTTTCCATTCAATTATAGTGTAATCAAACTCGAATTAGTCCAATTGAAGTCAAATTAGTGCAATCTCGGTCAATTAGAGTGTAATCGAACTCGAATTACTCCAACTGAAGTCAACTTAGTACAATCTCGGTCAATCAAAGTGTAATCGAACTCGAATTAGTCCAATTGAAGTGAAATTATTACAAGCTCGGTCAATCATAGTGTAATCGAACTCGAATTAGTCCAATTGAAGTCAAATTAGTACAATCTCGGTCAATTATAGTGTAATCGAACTCGAATTAGTCCAATTAAACTGAAATTAGTACAATCTCGGTCAATTATAGTGTAATCGACCCCGAATTAATCCAATTGAAGTGAAATTAGTACAATCTCGGTCAATTATAGTGTAATCGAACTCGAATTAGTCCAATTGAAGAGAAATTAGTACAATTTCGGTCAATCATAGTGTAAACAAACTCGAATTAGTTTAATTGAAGTCAAATTAGTACAATCTCGGTCAATCATAGTGTAATCAAACTCGAATTATTCCAATTGAAGAATACAATCTCGGTCAATTATAGTGAAATCGAACTCAAATTAGTTCAATTGAAGTGAAATTAGTACAATCTCGGTCAATTATATTGTAATCGAACTCGAATTAGTCCAATTGAAGTCAAATTAGTACAATCCCGGTCAATTATAGTGTAATTGAACTCGAATTAGTCCAATTGAAGTGAAATTAGTACAATCCCGGTCAGTCATAGTGTAATCGAACTTGAACTCGAATATACTATATAGTATATAACATATAGTATATAACATATAACATATATACTATGTTATAGTATATAACATATAACATATATAGTATGTTATAAACTATACTCTATATAATATATACTATTATAATATATACTATATACTATATACTATGGTATTATATAATATATATTATAATTTTGTAATATACATGTATATACTATGGTAAATTATAATATATATGTGTATACTATATATTAAAAATACTATATACTATAAAAAATCTTGATATTGAAGGATAAGAATAAAATTTGCGCAAAAATAAACGCGATAGCCTAGCGGCCTATTGGTAAGGAGGTGTGCCCAGAGATGACGGACTCGCCCACCCGAGTTCGAGTCCCGAATTTGAGGTCCTTCTACCAATTTTAAACATTTTTGTAAAACGGATTCTGAGAATCCGTTTTACAATTAATTAAATGTAAAATGGATTTTGAGAATCCGTGTTACGTTTAATATAAAAGAAAAAATCTTCTTCTCTTCACTTTGAACAGAGAATTACAGAGAGAAAGAGAGCGAGAGAGGGAGCAGAGACGAGAGAAAGAGAGCGAGATGGACCAAATTCATCAACCAAGGTTCATCACGAAATTAGGTACATTCTTCTATTCTCTTCTTATTATGCTAATTTTTTTTTTTTTATTGTCAAAATATCAAATTATATTAAATCAAACTCAGAATGTACACAGTCGAACACCCAAGTGGTTGCATGCCTTTCTCCCCACCTAGCACCACTAGATAGAAAGAAAAGACAAGGGGGGAAAATACATCAATATCCCCTAAAGGACCAAACACGGTCATCTAAAAAACAAACAGAAAACAACACTACCAAATCTAAACAAAGGACCACATTTGAAATTTCTCCTAGCAAAGCATAGATATCCTCCAGTATGACACCAAAGACAGAAGAAAAGATCACTAACTGATTAAGCATCTTGACCATTCCTTTGTTCTGCACATTGATCTTCACTTCCTGCCATTGCTGTGTAACTCCATCTACAAGCCATTCTCTGATTTGTAAGAGTTCTACTTCCACTGAGTGATAATTCTCACCCCTAGTCACAGTCCATCTTGCCACCTCAGAGTTGTTTATAAACGCCTGGCCTTTAATTCCAGCCTCCAACACTGATGAAGCATTAGCACTGGATTGACTTTCCTGTCTCCCTACTCCTTGGTCCACCCTGAGAGTCTGCAACCCATCTTTTTTGGCCTGCTCCTGTTGCTCAGAACATGTTGTAGTCTGGCTGTCCGCAAACTCCAACCACTCCATCCTACCTGACTACCAGTTGGTGCTCTGAGATTTTGATCTTTTTAAAGACCCAATTATTTCGTGTCTTCCACAACCACCACATTATATATGTAGACAATGAAATTCTGTCCTTACCTCTGTCTTTTCCTTTCACCTTGCACACCTCCTTTCACCAGTCTTTAAATGTATACTGGTTGGTCTGCAATTTATCCCACCAAATCCCAGCTATCTTCCAAGTCCTTTGAGCCCTCACACACCTAAATAAAATATGCTTCATGTCCTCTTTCTCTTCTCCACACCACCAACAAATTGTCTCAGACTTACCTCCCCTCCTAGCCATATTAGTGTTGGTAGCCAAGCAGTTATGCCAGCACCTCCACAAAAAGGTCTTCACTTTATGTTTAATAGGCAATTTCCAGGTTTTTGCCCACACAGCCTGTTCTGATTTTCTCCATGCACTTGACTCAGCGTGCCTCTTCACAGTTTCATTTCTCATTTGAATGGTATGATATACCTCATTGACAGTGAGTCTTACTCTTTTTCTTGAATGCCAAATCAACTTGTCTTTAATTCCACAGTGGCTGATGGGTATCTTCAAAATGTTGGCCGCATCAGTAGGATTGAATGTTTGCAGGATCAGTTCTTTGTCCCATGTCTTCCCCCCAGCTTCCATGAAGTCATGCACTGTAATAAGTCTATTTTTATCCTCTGGAAATTGGCATACAGGCTTGAACTTTGGTGAGTCTGGAATCCATGGGAAATTCCCCAGGTCAATGGAACAGTCATCCCCCACCTGGTATCTTAGACCTAATTTCAAAGATTCTCTAACCCCTAGCCAAGATTTCCAAAGCCATGAATCAGAGTTTTTCTTTTCAACCTCAAGGAAATTTTGTTTATGCATATACCTAACCCTGAGGACTTTACTCATCAAAGTGTTGGGCTTGGTTAACACCCTCCATATTTGCTTGATGATTAAAGCCTCATTCAAAACACCTAACGCTCTAAAACCCATCCCTCTTTCCATCTTAGATTTAGCTAAATTGATAATGTGTTTTGGTGTTAGGGTTTTGAATTGGATTAGTGTTTTTGAATTGGAGTTTATGAATTAGATTAGTGTTTTTGATAATGGTTGTTTGATTATGTTTGTTTGATAAATTGTTGGGTTATTTGGAAATTGATTAGGGTTTTGTAGTTTGTTTGGAAAACTATGATTTGAAGGTGTTCGATAAAATGACTTAAAGGGATTGTTGTACATATTGTTGATATATTGTTGTACATATGGTAGGGTGTCAAGCAACACTCCATGTAGCATCTAATTCGGTATTTCATGGACAAAGCAAAGTGTATTGGATTGTTAACTTTTTTTTTTTTTTTGACAAACTTGGCATTGATGCTACATTTGCTTCTTGAGGGGCAATGTTAATTTATATGGTATTGATTTGTTAACGTATACATGTTATATCTAGGGTTTCAATTAGTATAATATATTGTTATCCAGTAGAATAGGCTATTTAAATTAATAACCTTCTTTAGTTTTATCCTAGACCGGCATGTATATATCTATATCTGTATATTATACTCGTTTTTTTTTTTTGATCGTTAAATAAAAATGTATATAGATCAAAATTGAGTACAAGGACCGTTCAATGGCACACAAAAGCGTAATGGATAACCACAAGTCGGTTCCTCATACGCGAGTTAAGATATACGAGGACAACCACAAGTTGGTTGCTCACTCAAAGGTCATGGGAAATGAAATGCAGAGGGTCCCAATGGGACTCGGCCCGCGTCGGCTCGGTGAAACAATTATCGGGTCACACTCAAGGCAGTCGATGGTGCACTGTTTTGCTTCAGGCCATAGCGGCGCTAGGAGTGATGTGGCACGCTGTCGTGGCGTGGTTCCATTGTGAAGAGGGCCTGTCATGTTAACGGCGCTTTGCGGCATAGCGGCGCTAGGGAGTAAGCTGCGTTATAGGCACAGCGGCGCTACAATGTTAAGGCACCTATTCTCAGCCCCTCGTTAGTCCCTCGCTACGGACAAAGCGGCAGTATGGGTGAACTGGTAGCGGCGCTATCTCAGGCTAGCGGCGCTAGTACCTGAATGTATATTATACTCTTGAATAATAATGAAGATGATCAGGTTATTCCATTTTAAAATGAAGTCACA